CCCGCCGCCGCCGCCGCTGCCACGGCAACCGGGCCTTGTGACTCGCGCGGAACCGTGGGCCGCCGCCTCCGCCCGCGCCGCCCTGACCGCTTCGTTCACCCGCGCGCGTGTTCCACGCTCCCTGGCCAGACGTCTTTCCCTGAGCGCTGCAGATGTCATGGCCTCTCTTGGTGTTAACGTGGATGCCGTTTGGTCGTGTGTTCGAGTCGTTCGTGGAGGAACGGTTTCTGATTTCTCGATTCATCCCAGCGCCTCGCATGGGGCTTGAGAGAGCTGAAGCTCAGGACGTGCCTCTTAATGTTCGCCTTGTGCTGACGGGAAACTGAGGCCCGCAGAGAGAGCACGACATGTGCAAAGGGCATCCCAGCTCCTTCTCACTTTGGGGACGGAAGGAGGAGGGAGAGGGAAGGGACGAGGTGAGCCAGAGGTGAGGGCAGGGGCGAGGCCGGAGAGACCGCAAGGGTTGCTCTTCCGTGCCCCGACACCCCCGACGCCCACTCTGGGCAGGCACTGTGCAGAGTGCCTGGGACCCAGATGTGGTCCCTGCTCGGACAGTCTAGTGGGGAAACAGTGACCGCACCGTGTGGTCAGGCCTATGAGAGAGGGAGGACTCTGACCCAGCCTGTGGGTGGCTAGGCCAGGGAAGGCTTCTTGGAGGAGGAGAATCCCAAACTCAACACTGAAGCATTAGTATGACTTGCCAGGTGAAGAAAGGAAATGAGGGCATGTGCCCCCAACAGGGCATGGTCAGCTCTCTCTTTCCTCCTCCTCCCTGACCACCCACCAGCACCCCATGGTTATGCTGTGAGATTGTCTAATATCTCCTATGATTGATTGATCTTCCCAAGGGCCTTTGGTCAAGGTGGGGCAGAGATCCACACCCCATCCAGTGATGACAAGATTGAAGCCAGAGAGAGGTAGGATGTGCCCCAGGTCCTGCATCCAGCCTGTGGCAAAGCTGGACCAGAGACACAGTAGGTCTCCTTTCATGCCTCCCACCCCCCATGCCCATCTGACATCCCAAGCTGATATTTAAATAGGAAGTGTGGCCACCGAGCACAGCCAAGAGCTAGATTCTAGGGCTCCGGGTCCAGAGGACACGTGGTCATGGCTGACAGAATGTCCACACTGCACTGATGAGCTGATGGTCAGAGGCATCAGGCCTCAGGAACACAGAGAATACCCTGGGTCAAGCGTAGACTGCCCATTCCCCACAGTGGGCCTTGGGCAAGTCACTTCCTTCTCTGATCCTCAGCTTTCTTACCTATCCGATGAAGCTAATCATCTCTATCTCCCCAGACTGCTGTGAGGATTAAAGGGACCTTACAGAGGCCCAAGGGCAGAGACTATTTCATTCACTGCTGGTGCAGTACTTGGCACATAGTAAATGTTCAGTAAATATCTGCTGAATGACAAGTGAATGAATAAATGAATCTAGTCCAACTTCCCAGTAATACATAAACCCTCAGAGACTCATGTTTGAATCCTGGCTCTGCTGCCTCTCCTAGCTGGTGGCCTTTGGCAAGTTACTCTTGCCAAGCTTCAATTTCTGTGACATGACTGTAGCTTCCTGGAGGAGCAGTTTTTGTCAGTGAGGCGTGGATGTGTACACGATCAAGTTCTGTGCACAGGGAGGCCCTCCCGCCAGCCCTGGGTCTGCTCAGGAATTCTCAGGATGGCCCAGACCTGCCTGCAGTTGCTTTGCTTCTTCTCGCCTGGCCTGAGTCCCTCGGCTCTGGGATTCATGGGGGAGTAACAAGAGGATATAAGCCAAAGTCCATTGGGCTGGGAGTCCTAGTGCTGGGCAGGCTAGAACGGGCCAGGGTGAGTCAGCCCTGTAGCAAGGCAGCCTGCCCTAGTCAGCCCAAAGCTCCCCATCACAGCAACTTCCTTATCCCAGCAACTAACCCACTCTCCCTTTTTATTTTTTTATTTTTATTTTTTTTAAAAAAAAGATGACCGGTAAGGGGATCTTAACCCTTGACTTGGTGTTGTCAGCACCACGCTCAGCCAGTGAGCAAACCGGCCATCCCTATGTGGGATCCGAACCCGTGGCCTTGGTGTTATCAGCACCGCACTCTCCCTAGTGAGCCACGGGCTGGCCCAACCCACTCTCCCTTGTAGGCACTGTGGCAACCTCCTCCCACTCCCACTGTACGGAATTGGAAACAAAGGCTCAGGCAGGGAGAATAACTTGCCCTGTCACATCTAATGAGGTATAGCGTCACATAGCGAATATGGGACTCACAATGACATTTGAGAGTCCCCCACTGTAAGACTTGCTAACTCATCCAGACTCCAGAGTCATCTGTTATGTCAGTGGAATCAAGGCAAGCTCTTCAACCAGGATTCAGGCCTCTGTGATGGGGCTGTGGCCACTGCCTTCAGTCCTCATCTGCCATCTCTCCCCGACGCTCGGTAAGCTCCAGCCGTGTGGGGCTGCTCTGTCTCTAGAACACGCCCTACACTGGTGAACTTCTGGCCTTTTCATACTCTTCCTGTTTCTGAAATACACACCCCCAACCTACCCTCCCCACTCAACTCCTCATCTCGTCAGAGTCTGATCGAAAGCCGATGACCCTAAGATTCTCTTAGGATGGCCATTATCAGAAAAATAGAAAATAACACATGTTGGGAAGGATGTAGAGAAATTGGAACCCTTGTGCATTGCTGATGGGAAATTTAAATGGTCCAGTTGCTGCGGAAAACAATATGGTGGTTTTTCAAAGAATTAAGCATAGTATTCCCATATGATCCAGCAATTCCACATCTTGGCCTATGCCCAGAAGAATTAAAGGCAGGAATTCAAACACATATTTGTATATCTACATTGATAGCAGCATTTTCACAGTAGCCAAAAGGTAGAAGCAACCCAGGTATCCATCCACAGATGAATGGATAAACAAAATGTGGCATATATGTACAATGGAGTAATATTCAGCCTTAAAAAGGAAGGAAATTCTGACACATGGTACAACATAGATGAATCTTGAAGACATTACGTGTGTGAAATAAGCCTGACACACAAGGACAAATCTTGTATGATTCCACTTATATGAGGTACGTAGAGTAGTCAAATTTATAGAGACAGAAGGTAGAATGGTGGTTGCCAGGCACTAGGGGGAGGAGGGAAGGGGGATTTATTGCTTAATGGGTATGGAGTTTCAATTTGAGATGATGAAAAACTTCTGGAGAGGGATAGTGGGGATGGTTGCACAGCAGTGTAAATGTACTTAATGTCACTGAACTGTACACTTAAAAATGGTTAAAATGGTAAACTTTATGTTAAGTATATGTTTCCATAATTTAAAAAATAAAATCAGATTCCTTCTAGGAATCCATCCCCTATATCCCCAAGCAAGTAAAAGAATAAGTTTTATTTCACGATCACCAGCAATTTATACTAGCAATTTTTTAAAATTATTAAATTTATTAAATTTTATATTTAAAAATTGCCAGGTGAGACATGGCACCAGAATATTGTTTTAATTTACCTTTGTATTGCTAAAGTCAAATATTTTTTTCCAAGTTTACTATTTGTCCCTATTT